ATAAAATGAAAACCATGTACAGAAATTATATATTTAACAATTAAACGAGGTTTATAGTAATCATGAGCACAGCAGCTCTCCTGTTAGCATGCTGAGCATCAGGGCCGCAGTGTGATACCTGAGCTGCTGCATTAACTCCTCCCCCTCTTTGATCACATTAAGCGTCGCCTCCAGCGTCGCCGTCTGCTGCTGCTGAAACTGTTGAATCAGAGTCTGGACCGAGTCCACCGAGTCGCAGCTCACGTCTTCCAGCAGCTGCTTCTGCAGCTCCTCCATCCACGACCAAAGCTGCACACACACACACATCATCAGCCCATCCACAGAGCCCATCCATGCCACTGTATGACCACCTAAGGTCAAAGGTCACAGCCCACCTCCTTGGTGTGTGTGTGGAAGGACACGGACATGTCGAGCAGCAGCTTCCTGTGCTCCACCCGCCGAACAAAGTCCTGGATCCGCACCTCCAGGTGTCTGGCTGCCTTGTAGATTTCCTCTGGGTCACATTCTCCTGTCTGAGCCAGCTGCTCGGCCGCTTCCAGCAGCTTGTCTGCATTGGTGTACGTGTTCTGAAAGATGCAGAAGGGACTCCCATCATCACCATCATCAACATGAGGCACAAAACACTTTTCATTTACAAAAAAGCCATTAGGGGAATCGCTGTGCAGAGGAGGGCGACCTTCTCCTGCCCGGCAGCAGGGATCTCTTTAGGAACAATCAGCAAGAAGTGACCAAATCAAGCTAACTGTAAACATCCAGTCAGCAGCCAGTTAAATAGCTGCTAGCTGTACATCCATAACGTGAACCTCCTGTTTCACCACAAGCTGAGATCTGAGCTGAGATCTGGGGTCTGTGGAGGCGAACGGGCTGCAGTGAACTCACTGGCATGCAGAGGTGTCCAGTAACGAAACATAAATACTTCATTACTGTAGCTAAGTGGCTTTTTTCTGAATCCTTGCTTTACTTGAGTATGTTTTTCTGAGTGCTTTTCACCTTTAGTCTCTACTGTACACAAATATCTGTCTCTAAATGGCTCAGTAGTTATATACGTTAAAAAAAAAACAACGTGACGTAACGTAACAGCCGCATCAAAACAGGGAAAATCTGTCCAGGTGGAGCCCAGATTGCAGATGGGTCCGATTCTGTGAGACGTTCCCCATCCATCCCTTTTTAGATTTTAGATTTATATTTTAATTATATGTGAAGTTTTATTTCCATTTAAATTTTTTTTTCTACTGTTTTAGTTTTATTATTTTCTACTGTCATTACACTGTCTCAAGTACAGAGTAACAAAATTAACTCTCTGTGTTTAACTCACCCCCCTGGGCAGCAGTGGGCTGCCATCGTGCAGCACCTGGGGAGCAGTGTGGGGTTAAGGGTCTTGCTCAGGGACCCAGAGAGGCAGTCTGTGGGAGTGGGGCTCGAAATCAGAACCTCTGGATTCCAACTTCTATGTCGTAACTACTAGGCCACCACTTCCTACAAATACGACTATGAGACTGACGAACGGCCTACTGCACCAACCAGGCCATTTATAACCTTTCTAATGTTAAGGTTATAAATGAGCTCTGGTTTAATCTATGTCATCCTGTCTGAAATCTGAATTTAGAAGATAATTTGTCAGAATGTTTATGTTCTTTCAACAAACACAGTAAGTAAAACATGAAAATGAACCAATTGTTGTGCATAAGGCATCATCAGATGATGGTTATATTGGTCTGTTCTGAACCAAAGGCTCCCAAACATTTTAGGACTAATGACCCAAAACTGTTGCTTGGATTAGAAACAATAAAAAAATTTGATTAGTAATAAAATTAGCATTAAAACATTTTCTTGCCATCTCTTTAAATCCATATATTCTTTCTCAGTATCGTATTTATTGTTTTATTTCTGCAGCGGATCTTAAACCCCCATGTTGTTGATGCATGTTGCTAACTTAGGGAATCAATGGTTTAAACCAGTGGTTCCCAACATTTTCTGATATGTATCCATTTTACCATCAGTACCCCATGGTCAAATATGTTGATTATTTTCTAAAAATAGAACTGATTATAAAATTAAAAATATTTATTTAATTTCCTTAACTGGAACATTTAATGCTCAGACATTTTACTATTCTTAATAATAGAAAATAACATAAATATGTTTCCTGGAAAATGAATACAATCTATGCAAATCTATGTTTTTTAACAAAAAACTAAAGCTCTTCTGAAGCAGTCCCCTATGCGCACATCTAAACTTGACCAACCAGAAAAAAAAATAAAAAATTCAGATATACCCAGTGATGTGCAAGTTACTTCCAAACTGTAATACATTATAGATTACTTGTTACTGTTATTTGGAAGTAATTATTTACATTACAATATTACTGTCTCAGAATTGTAATGCGTTACGTTACTCCTGTATTATTTTTGAGTTACTTTCACCAAAATAACTACAAGGTAGACCTTTCCATTTCTAAAATGACAAAATGTAAAAATAAATTACATGTAAGTAACATAGTTATTGTTAACAGAGGAGTTTACATCCAGTAGAAGGCAATATGATGTTCCAAAATTACTGTGGGCTATCCAGGCTACTAACAATATAACATATAATTGGCAAAGTAAAGTCTCAAGACAAGAAACGATGACAGATAAAATCACAAATAATTTAAGTCTGTTAAAATTATGGTAGAGGTAAAGTAATTATCTGGTAATATCCATGAATAGCTTGGGTATATTAATATTAGACACAACAGAACTGTATGTAAACTCGGTAATGTCATGACAAGATTTGTTTGTTTTTTTTGTTTTTTTTTTTTTATTCAAGAGGTTTAAAACACAAAACTGTCATGAACAAAGTGCACATGATGAACAAATCTTATCCTTTTTCAGGAACTATAAAGTGCACTTGGAGGACTGACAGTTCTTTCGGTTTTACACAAAGGTTGCATTTGACTATTGCGTTCTTCTTGTCCTTTTCTCTGACAAACTCGAAGTTATGCGCATACGTCCATCTCAAGAATGTACAGTCGTCTTCTCTCATCTTCATTAGCTTTTCCACTGGGAAGCGCGAGCACTACGCAGAAATCATGTCTCGCGCAGCGCGCCACTCCTGTAAAACCCACCCTAATCCTCCTTCATAAATGTCTCGCGGTTTTTTTTTTTTTTTTTTTATAAATAAGTGTTGTAACGCAAGCTTTGCTGAACATTTACCAAATAAAATATTACAGAAAATTTATTGGTAATGCCTTACACTACGGCGTTACATCAATAAGTAATACATTACTGTAATGCATTACTTTTGTAACGCGTTACTCCCAACACTGGATATACCATGTCATTTTTACTTTGTTTTAATCAATCAGCTGTGTGTTAATAAAACACTTGATTTTATCCATATATCATTTACTGCAGCGGCTTTGGTTTGTTCTTCTCTTCTCTTCTGATCTTTTTCTTTTCCCCTGTGTTCCCACTCTTACTTACAGAGAAGTTGTAGAATAGAATAGAATAGAATAGAAAATCTCTTTATTGTCCCACAATGGGAAAATTATGGTGTTTACAGCAGCAAAAAGATTATAGAAGAAATTTTCACACAAATGTGGACCTTGGAAAAAATATATAAGAATAACATAATAGTGAAGAGTTAATAGATAAACAATAAAATACTGAACTGTAAAGTATTTTAACGCTGTAAATACTGTGCACCTGGAAAATAATATGGACATTTTTAATGGACATTCAGATGTCCAAAATGACTGCGGCATGTTGTTTAACTGACTATCATAAAAACTGTGCAAATTCAGCATGAATGTAACAACTTATTGACGTTGTTGGGGAACAGTGGTGGTTACAGCGTCTTAAAGCTGCTGGGAGGATAGTGCACCGAAACTCACTCTAGTCTTTTATGTAGATGTTGTTTAAGACATTTTTTTTTTATCATTTAGGTTGATAAAATATTTGTTTGTTTTGCATTTAGGTCCTTACGGAGTAAAACCCATCCCAGCCCTATTTTCTTGTATTCTTTATCTGGGAAGTAAAATATGAAATGTTTTCACGGACCCCCTGTAATGCATTGGTAGACCACTAGGGGAACTAGTTCCCCTGGTTGGGAATCATTGCTCTAAACTATGCTTCCTTTAAACTATCCAGATTCTGACCTGGAGTTAAAGAAGAAATGGAGACTCATTGGACGATCTGTTACTGTCTCAACTTTAGCCTCAGCTTCCTGCTATGAGCTGAGAGGAGTTTCACTCACTATAAATCTCAGAGGCAGACAAGAGGACCTGACTCTATGTTTTATCATTACCATCACAATATAGCCTTTAGTTATTATGCTGGATCAATATCTGACTGTGAGCTATGCCTGATTTAGTGATATTACACCAACAGATGAAAACTATCTCCAGTCTGATCTGTCAGCAGCATTTCATTTCTCTTTTCATAAACAGAGGGACATGATCTGGTCTGAACATCACAGCTCGGTGCAGAAACCAGCATTAAAACTGGATTAGCGTCTGTCTCGTCTGGTAGAGATTTGTAACCTCAGGAAATGCTCCACGGCTGAGATGTCGTGGGTATTTTACCCTCGGCTGAGGCTGAATTAGCAGGAGGTTAAGAAGGCTCTTCACCACCGTGTCAATGCATATTTCAAATGTCTGGCAGATTAGACTGAAAATAAGTATAATCCACAAGAGATTATTATGCTCTGAGGCCCAACCAGTTAAAGGGAGGAGAAAGAAATATCCAGCATTTCAATAAATGAGCTCAAACTTCATTCTTTAAGCTGCAAAGAAACTAAAGTTTAACTAAAAATAGTAAACTTCTTGATAGAAACTAACTGGAAGATTGAAGGTCATGTTTCCAGCTTTAACAAAAACTTATTTACACAGTGATTTAGTTCCTTCTAAATTACTAAAAACCAACTATTTTATAATCGTTATTTATATATTGAAGCATGAAAAGAAGCCATGTTGGTGGTATTCCAGGTGTGTGATAGAGAATAATTCACTCCTGACCCTAAATCATTAACAGCACAGTTCAATGGTGAATGTTAAACACACTAAAGATTTCTGAAAGTGAAACTGCTTTTATTCAGTGAAATTAATCAATTAATGAGAAGCACCCCTTTGGTTGTAAATCAGTTCTTAAAAGAAAAGTGCGCTCATATTCAGAATTCAAACCTCTGAAAGTACTTTAAATATTAAATTATTACATACTGTTCAATAAATGATAAGTGTTTTTTTATTCAGAGTAATTTTCATTTGAATGTGCTTTACTTGAGGCATCCATGTTTGTCAAAGAACACTACTGCCACCTACTGGTTTGTGACGTCACGGTGCGGTATCGGCTCTTGATCAAGTCCCAGTGCTGTATCTGGTGTTTGTCACAATGCGCTATTATCCAAGTCATCTTGAAAACATTCTTCTTCCAAATGTTGGCTACATATTATGTGTTTTTTCTCTGGTCAGAAGTTCAATGGCAAATCCTCCCTCTTCAAGTTGGCGATCCAACGACCAACCTGTCCGTGGAGGATCATGAATCGGAAAGGTGAAATAACTCTTTTTATTTCACTTTTACCCGATATA